CTGAATACGAACTACATTAAAATGCAGACACGCTTTTTTAAGCTACAGTTGCTGAGAGACATTGAGCCTGGGATTTCCTTTTCTTAGTTTCAATCTCCAGGCCTGATATGGTAAGAGGTGGCACCACTAGTTATTTGAATATTATAATTAAAGGAGAATACAGACCTCTTTTAATGCTCAAAGAATTGTTTCTATTCTGTATTGAAGTTTCTGTCTCCCAACCTTGGAACTAGTTGTTTGTAGTTTAGTAGTCTTGCTTTGGAGGAAGATCTACAGAGGTTTCTGATTTTCCATTTAATATAGGGTAAAATTCAACCCATGAAACAGAAGAGCGATGCGTCACTTAAATCACACTCAAACTATAACTCAAACGTGGGCAGGCTCTACTCAGAAGTGAATTTGACCCACATTCCCTTTTGCTTGTCAGGGGGTACCTCTATTTTTTCCCGCTTTTAAAGGAGAATAAATTATTTGATACATAGCTATTTGGGATTTCTTTCGGACCAAGATTTCAGTGACAATGTTACTCTCTTCATAATTTTGTATATTATATGAATTGCAAGAAAATTAGAAATCTGTTCATCTTGTATTAGGTCTAAGTGATTAGATACCTTTATATTATACTGTCAATTTCAAAACAGATTCTAAAACTTTCAAAATAGGCAGTTAAAAGAAATGCACATTCACTACAAAAATCTTTGGGTTGGTCTTGACTTCTTGTAGAATATGTCAGAATAAATATATTTCTACATCACACGATTCATTGTTAAGGGTTCACTTTGCAGCCATTTCTGCCTTTGTTTGATTGTAGATAGATATTTGTACATAATACCATTAAGAAATCTATGGAGGGCTTGTCTACTGTGTATCTTCCTTTAAGACATTCTGTCCTTCCTTGGAATCTCAGTTTGGTTCTAGCCATCCTAATAAAACCACTCTTTTCACCTTTTGCTGAGTGCTCTTTACAGTGTTTATCTATTAAAATGGATTTTATTATTCTTACAACATCTGCCACCAGGGTAAGGAAGCTAAATGTTCCTTTTGCTGATCCATCATTCACTATTTTCCATAAAGATAATGTGGTTCTTTGGCCTGAGCCCAGGTTTTTGCCAAAGGTCATTTCAGATTCTCATGTCAATCTGTTCATTAATTTGCTGTTTTTTCACCCAAGCCACATTCTAATAAGGTTGAATTGGCTTTACATACTTTGAATGTAAGACGGGTCTTTGATTCTTGTTTGGACAGAACTAAAAGTTTTCATAAATCATCCAGATTATTTGTTATCCTAAAAATCACATGGGGTACGCATTTTCATTCCAGACCATTTCTAGATGAATTAAGTTATTGTTGAATGTTATTCACTGGGACATACTCCTATGTGTAGGTCAATATATCCACATTCCACTGGAGTTGCGGAAACCTCATCTGTTTGTATTAAATCAGTCTCTATTGTTGAGATTTGCAGAGCTGCTATCTGGAGTTCGGTTCATAACTTTAACTAGGCATGATGTTTTGGGCTTGGCTTCTAAAGCAGATACTGGATTTGATAGAGCAATGCTTCAGTCTATTAATTTATGACTCTCCATATTATTTTCAGCACTGCTTAACACTCTGTCCTATAACTGGGAATATGCAGAGCCATTCAGAGAAGAAATGAAGGTTACTCTCTTGTAACTGGAGTTCTTTGAGATGGTTCTGCATATTCACACTTTCCACATATCTTCCCCTCTTTGTCAGAGTCCTACTCATTTATTCTCTGCCACTGAGGTGATAGAGGGCGCTGTACCCATAATATAGCCTTGTTCTCAGGACCTTCAGGGTACGTCTACACTACAGTGCTAATTTGAACTAACTTAGTTCGAATTAGTTAATTCGAACTAAGCTAATTCGAACTAATGCGTCTAGAACTAAAAACTAGTTCGGATTAGCGTTTTGCTAATTCGAACTAGCATGTCCACATTAAGTGGACCCTGAACCGAGGTTAAGGATGGCCGGAAGCAGTGCCGGCAGGGCATCAGAGGAGGACTTAGAGCGTGGAGATGCTGTCTCAGGCTAGCCGAGGGCTGCGCTTAAAGGGTCCCGACCCCCACCCCGGACAGACAGTTCTCAGGGGTGCCCCGCTTGCAAAGCAGTCCTGGCTTGGAGTGCCCCGAGTACCCACACTGGGCACATCACACCACTCGGCCATCAGCCCGGCTGCACTTGCCGCAGGCTGCCATCTGGGGAGCGGGAGCAACTGGGGGGCTGCAGGAGAGCTTCCACACCCAGAAGCCCACAGAGCCAGCCCAGTCCTCCCCATCGGGGGCTCGTACCCCATTCCTCCCTCCCCTCCTTCCACTTACCCTTCCCTAGCCCCTTTTCTTGATCTACAAAATAAAGGACAATTGTGTTCAAAAATAGAATCTGTCTTTATTGACCAAAACTCGGGGAGACTGGGAAAAGGAGGGGGGAGAGGGGAAGAGAGAGGCTGGGAGAGGGGAGGGCAACTACAATGATCAGGGGTTGGGAACAGGTCCCATATGAAGAGAGGCTAAAGAGACTGGGACTTTTCAGCTTAGAAAAGAGGAGACGGAGGGGGGACAGGATAGAGGTCTCTAAAAGCAAGAGTGGTGTGAAGAGGGTGCATACAGAAAAGTTCTTCATTAGTTCCCATAAAGAAGGACTAGAGGACACCAAAGGAAAGGAATGGGTAGCAGGCTTCAAACTAGTAACAGAAAGTTCTTCTTCACAAAGCAAAGAGTCAACCTGTTGAACTCCTTGCTGCAGGAGGCTGGGAAGGCTAGAACTAGAACAGAGTTTAAAGGGATGTGAGATCAAGTCATGGAGGTTGGGTCCATGGAGTGCTATTAGCCAGGGGGTAGGAGTGGTGTCCCTGCCCACGGTTTGAGGAAGGCTGGAGAGGGATGGCACGAGACAAATGGCTTGGTCACTGTCTTCAGTCCATCCCCTCCAGGGGCCCTAGGGTTGGCCGCTGTCGGCAGACAGGCTACTGGGCTAGATGGACCTTTGGTCTGACCCAGTACGGCCATTCTAAGCTCAGAGCTCAGGGTCGGGAGTCTCAGTGGACCCCCTTGATTTTCATGCACACCTGCTCCTGGGTGGCCAGGCTGGCAGCTCTCCTGCCCTAGCTGGTCACTTTCCTGTGCCTAGTGTGGAGATCGTGGACGAGGTCCACGATGTCTGCACTAGCCCAGGCGGGTGCCTGCCTCTTGCGGTCCCGGTCAAGCCCCTGGGAGCCGCCAGCCTGGTCCTGGGAACAGGGGGAGGGCTTGGGGGCATCGGGTGGGTGGCTCGATCCGTGCCAGGTGCAGGGTCTGCTGGCTGGGTGTTGGCAGGCTTGCACCTGGCATGGGCACCGTAGCCAGCCTGTGCCCCTTTAAGGGGTCCGGGGCCGGGAGGGGGGCAGTAGAGTTTCCCTGGTGTTGGCCAGAGTGGCCACCAGGGAAATCTGGGGAGGGCTAGCCTCCCACTAGTTCGAATTAAGGGTCTACACAGCCCTTAATTCGAACTAGTAAATTCAAACTAGGCTTAATCCTCGTGGAATGAGGATTACCTAGTTCAAACTAAGCGCTCCGTTAGTTCGAATTAAGTTCGAACTAACGGAGCGCTAGTGTAGCGCCTATGAAAGTTAGTTCGAACTAACGTCTGTTAGTTCGAACTAACTTTGTCGTGTAGACATACCCTCAGAGATGCTGAGTGGAAAGGCTGGGGGGTACAAGAGCATGCTAAGAGACACTGATGGGAGAAGCTTCTACCATGCACCACAAAGCAGTGCAGTACTCATAAGTGTGAATATGCAGTGCCATCTAGAAGAACACCTATTTGCTAGTAAGAAACCTTTCTTTATTCCTTAAATGCTTATGTGGTAAGCTTCTTTTTGTAATATTCATTTGCAATTGTTTAGGATCTGAATATAAGCATTTAATGAAACATTTTCCTGACAGTCTTGTGACATGACTAGTGAGTTAACTTATTTTTATGTACCAATATGAAAACAAATGAACATACTTATAACTGCGTAAGCAACCTTCTCACTAACCCCAAGAAGACTCTCAAAAATTGCTAAGAAGAAAAGACAATTCCTTTATTTAAGTTCAAAGATACTAAGAATAATTTACATTTAATTACACTTATTTCTACAGTCTTTCAGCTCTTAAGTATTTTGGACCCCTTTGAAACAAGTTTCACTGTTATCAAATCTGTATGGAACTAAAGGGATAGCTCAAAGTGAACTGAATAAAAAGTTAAAACTCCAACTTTAAAAAATGAGAATTTCTTGCCAGAAAGACAAAAGCAACATAGCTATGATGTTTACTTACAATCATGCTACATATGCATTAGCAGATAGTTTTGGTAGGTATACAGTCACATAAAGGTGCTGAGCCTATAAATGGTGAGAGAGGCTGATATCTAAATTCAGCTAAGCTCCTGAAAGGGGTGCCTTCCACCTTCAGCAGAAAGAGAAGAACATTTTCATGTTCTTCAGCACTGAGCTCAGCGTGCTTATTTAATATCACCACACCTTCAAGTCAACAGCTTGACCAAGCAAGCAAATAGCATCTTTAAAAACATATAAAATATTTTAGTGCACAGTGCATGGATACTGATGCAGAAGAGCCACTCATTCCAGTCATCCAAGTTCACAAATCTGGTCCGTTCTTGACTTGTAAGCAGCACAATGCAAACAGCCAACCAGTAACTCACAATCCAAAAGCAGCTACAGCTGCCTTCATCTTTAATATGGAGGGTGGCTTGTGGAGATGACAGGTCCCATTATATAGAGCTCCACCTTGATCCAAGTGGTATCCCCTGATAGAACTAATCATTACCAAAGTCTGTGCCACATCAACAAAGAAGAAAGCACCTGCAATCTCCACTCCACTTCATACGCTTTAGGTACTGTTATTCCTGTACTCTTGGCAACTTGCATCTCTTCCTCAGAAGCAAGTCAAAGTTTTAACACACCCTGCCCGCCCCAACTACAAATTATATACACATACGTGCCCCTTCCTCCTCACAAGCGCACTGATAAAGCAGCTCCTTCATTGGGTCCTGAAGTTTGCAGTGAAGTCTAGACAATTTTAAAAACATTTTGTAGATGTCCTCTTCCTTGTTATAGGAGTTCACTTTCTGACCCTTTCCTACAGGAGGCAGTTTCAGGAAAGCTTGCTCCCCAGACATCCTTCTTGAAGAGAGATGGCCCTTCATTTCATGGGACAAGGTAAGTAATCACTCTTGCAAAGTAAGTTGAACTCTTTCCTTTAAAGACAGGCTGGACAAGTGCCTAGCTGGTGGGAATCAGGCTCTCACATATTTGGTCTTGCTGCATTACATCAGAGAAGTCACAATAGTTCAGTGACATCACAAACGACAACAGGAGAATGTATGCTCCAATGCATGAAATAGTAGTCTGGAGAGAGCTGAGTGGTTAAATTTTTCTGTTTTATTGCTTCCCATTTTAGTACCAATACTGCGTCTGTAACATCAAGTGCAATCTGACAGTCGGACATTATTATCTCCTTCCTCTAGTCTAGGAGTTCCAAGAGCTTCTGATTTCCTATGTTCTAAGATGAATAGTTACAGGAGTAGTAATGGGGGATTTGATTACTAGAAATACAAATAGCTGGGTTTGTGATGACCAGGAGACCTATATAGTTAATTGCCTAGTGGACACAAAGGTTGCAAGGTCTCTAGACAGGCATATGTGCATTGCTGTGGGAGCGCCAGTGGTCATGATACATGCAGATAGGTGAAAAGGAAGAGAGAGGTGGGAGGCCAAATTTAGGCTGATTGGTAAAAGTTTAAAGTCCAGGACCTCTATGCTAGCATTCGCTGAACTGCTTCCAGTTCCCCATGCAAGGCCAGGAAGACAGGCAAAGCTGCAGGGCCTCAATGCGAGGATGAAACAATGATGTAGGGAGGACAGTCTTAGGTTTATTAAGAACCGAGGAACCGTCAGGGTAACATGGAGCATAGGCAAGAATGATGGGCCAAAACCAAAATGGAACCAGATTGCTGTCATGTAAAATTAAAGAGGTCATAGAGTACAGTATTTTTTTTTTTAAAAAGGGCTGAAGGTAGGCTGACAGGTGTGCAGCAGTACACAGTTTGGGCATGGACATCCCTTTGCAGAGATGCCAACTTTCTAAAGTGTCAGGAAGTGCTCCCGTGGTTCTGCTCCCATTCCACCCCTCACCCCTGCCCTGCCTCTTCCTGCCCCATTACACCCCCTCCCCCTGCTTCTTCCCACTTCCACTCCTCCTCCTTTCCCACAGTGCTTCCTGTATGCTGCAGAATAGTTGATCACAGGAGGTGCTGGTGGGAGGAGCTTATAGAGGGGCTGCTGAGCAGCCACTGTTCCCCCCCCCCCCCCCAAGAGTGCTCCAGCTTGTATATGAAGTGTTAGACGACTAACTGCTAAGATGAGTGAATCAGAGTGTCTGCATTAAATGAGGATGTTGATATAATAGGCATTATGGAATGAGGATTATCAATGGGACATAGTAATACTAAAGTAAAAACTATACAGGAATGACAGGAGGTTGCACTGATAGGGGAGTGGCACAATATGAGAATGAAAGCATAGAGTCAAATACAGTAAAAAACTTGAATGAAGCTCTCTCTAGCTCAGTGGTTCTCAACATGTGATCTGCAGACCACTCTGTTTTATAGGTGGGCCAAGGGTTCAGGGCTTCCCTGGTGGGCCCGCTGCAAAAGGGGGGAGCCCCGAGCTTCATGGACTGAATTTGGCTTGTGGAGGGAGAAAGCAACTTTCTACACTGCCACTTCCTCTCCCACCTGGTGGTTGGAGGAATGGCAGTGGAGGGGA